AACAACCGCCGTATCAACTAAGTAAAGCATCGGACACGGCCCCCTGCATAGATTGAAGGGCGTAATGCTCATGCAGGAACGACGCAGTTCTTCGCATACGGTTAACAAATCCAGCTTCGCGATAGCTGATGCGCTCCGGAAGTTAAAATTTCCCAATGCACCCCCTCCACCGGACATCCCGCCAGAAACTTCGCCACCCCCGCGACCCCTCGGCACCCAGACCAACCCACTCCATTAGCGGCGCGCTCCTGTTTGGCTACGGCATCTGTGACCGAACGTTGTCCAGCAAAGCTGGCCGGCACAACGGCCCACACAGGCACACGAATACATAACAAGGGAAGCCCCGCGCCCGAGAAAAAAGGCGCAAGAGAAGACGAACCACCAAAACCAAAAAAAGAAGAAATGGCGAACCCCGCCAATGACAGGCGGAACGTGGGAGGCACGCTCTGTGACGGGTTTGTGGCCCCAGGGCGGGCCATCGCGCGCAAACCGCCGCCGCACGATGGGTTAGGGAAGCCGGCCTGGAATAATTCAAAACTCTCCTGGGGCCAGGTGTTCATTGCATGGGGCCTTCTGGCGCTGGTGTGGCGAAAGTTTGGCTCCCGGCGCGTGTGCGAACGGGCCCCGGTCAAGCGCCACGTTGCGGGCCCTCAACCCGTTCGCGTCCAAACCGGCCGGCGCGGACGAAGCGAGGAAATGTTCCAGCGGCTGCTGGGTTGGCCTGCCATTTGCCCCCTCCGTGCCTGGCGCCTCTCCGGGGGCGTCTCCATATTGGTTCGCGTTTTTCCCGGGTGGTTGGCGCCGTTCCTTTTCGCGCCGGGGCTTGCCTGTTCCGAACGGCTGGTTTCTCGGATGCGCCCCCCGGCGGCTTCTATGTTGCGCCCGCTCTTTTTGCGGCTTGTTGGTGTGGGGGGCAGGCTCTACAGCGCCGGCCGGAACGGTTCCGTTCGGAAATTCGGAGAGAAACGTCCGCCAAGAAGCAAGACCAAGAAGAAAACCACATGAAACCAAACGCTGCCAAAAGGAACGTTCTTGTTTTGCGTTGTTTTCCTTACTTTCCTTTGTTTTTTTTTTCTTTTTCTTTGGTGTGGTGGGGAACGGCGTCCTGTGAGTGGATCTCCCGCTGGGTTTCCGCACCGCTTCTGGGCACGGATGAAGTCAAACGTTTAATTTGGAATATGGGGAAATGGGGCCCAATGCGCTTTTTTGGCGGGGACACCGGTGGGAAAATCAAAAAGCAATCGCAAGAGTCAAAAGAATGGCCGGGCCCAGCGCGACCGGCGTTTTAAACCTTCTGCGCCAAACTGTTGGTCCACCGGCAATTTGGGTAATTTAGAAGAAAGAATCTACGTTGCGCAGGCCCTTTGGTTGCTTGCGGGTTGTTGTTTTTTTTTCTTTTTTGGTGGGTGGGCGCCTTCCCCGCCAGCCAACGGGCCCCGCCCCGGATTCCCCCGAGAGCCCGGTTGCTTCTTTTCCTTTCGTTTTTTCTCACCCCACGCCGCCCTCAAAAAAAAAAAAAGGGAAAAGGAAAAAAAGAGGGCCTCCCCATCGTTCCGGCTTGTCCTGGACGCCGGGCCTCGCTTTATTTGGGCCCCTCCCGCGGCGTCGTGCCGAAAAACCCGCCCCCAAAGCACGCGGGCCGCCCTTCAAGCCCATAGGGTGCGCCAAATGGGCGCTTCCGCCCAAAAAGAAAGAAAGAAAAACTTCCAAACAGACATATCGCAACACGCGCGCCCCCTCCGAAAAAAGAAAAAAAAAATAACACGGGTGAAGGAAGAAAAAAGTGGAGAAAACAAAGAAGGTAAGGGCGAATCCGTTCCCAATGTCCCCGCCGGCCGCCGGAAATCCGGTGGCGGCGTTTTGTCCTCGCCGGCTGTTTGTGGCTTCGCGCCGGCCCCCTTCTTTTTTTTTCTGCGAGCGTGGGGTTCCCCTGGCCACAACCCCGCGGATTATCGAAGGCACGAAGCCATTTTGTAGAAACGGTAAGGTGGTTCGGTCTTCTCCCATGTTGTGCCGGCGGCTTCTTTTTCATTATCGGGGCCGCCTCGGGTATGCATGCCCTTCTTCTTTCGGACCGCCGAAAAATGGAAGCGCCACTTCTGTGATCCAGATGGGTTGAAACCTGGTGAACATTACACCGCAGAGTGAATTTGTAAATTTAGCCGGTCATTCAAGAAGAGGAATTTGCTATACCAAAATGGCGCGGGGAACGTGCAGGCCCCATTGGCGTAATGCAATCCGAAAAAACTTTTTTACCGGCCCTATGCTGATTTAAAAAAGACATTCAAATCCTTTGTTTCCAAGCAAATTTCGCGCCGCCCCCACGAAGCCACACCATGGACAGGCAACGTTAACGGAAAAAACGGGGCCACGAACGGCGGCGGCTTTTTTTTTTAGAGTCCACTTTCTTCTTTCCCACAAGTCGTGGCGTGGGGATGATGTCACCTTTCTGGTTTGCAAGGCCCTTCCAAAACCTCACCCAACCGTTGCGCGTCTGTGGGCGCCAGAAATGGCCCCACAATCTTTCTGACTGGTACTTACGTTTTGTTGTACATAAAAAAAAGGAGTCGAATACGCGATTTCCCTTCCACCGTTCCCCTCCCTTTTTTCATCACTCCCACCAATAGATAACGTTAAGTAAAGCAGTTTCTCCTAGGCGGTCTGGTATTTTTTCGGTAGTTATGTTTTTAAAAGACGTACTATCAATAAATTGCTTCTGCCACAGCATTTGCGACGTAATTATTCGCCCGGCGTTTCGTTCTTGCGTGGCACATCCTCGGAGAACCGTGGCCAGACAGGATGTCAGTGGGCTTTCCCACGAGCGTGGCTTATGGGAACAAGAGTGTCAGAAGAGAATTGTTTTGGTGTTATAGGGTGATGTGAATTTTGAGCGTGAAGTATGTAACGGTTAAAAGTTATTGTGTTGTGATATATTTGTTTGTTTTATATATAAACTCTGCAAGCTCAAGCACATATCATCGTATTTAACTTACTGCAACACTAATGTCTATCTCTTCTCTCTTGTTTCTGTATTTCCGCACAAACTGATAGTCTAAGTGTTTGCTTCGGTTGTTTCGTTTTTGATTCAATCGGGATCGTTATTTTTGCGCCCTCCCACCACATCCCTGTAGATTTTTTCATTGTTCGGGTTTTTCATTTTAAATTTTTGCTCGACCCAAGAGCCTTATCAAATTTAACTTGTTGTGAAAACGTTGTTTTTTCAAAACCTTCGTTTTTTTCTTTTACTTCATTTATTTACGGAAAACGCATTTATTTTACTACATTTACTTACTTTATGAAAACGCACTTCTATTTTACTATATTTATTTACTTTCTGAAAACGTATATTTATTTTACTTTATTTATTCCCCTGTTTTTCATTGTAAGAACGCTCAAACGTGTTCTTTAATTCATGAAACACAATTCGAACATTTTAATTTTACTTTTTCCATCCCGTGAACCGGCATTCACTGCTGGAGTATCCCGAAGCCGTGGGCGCAGTCTTTACCACGTTGTCTTCCGGCCTCCCGTCATGAGACTGTCCCCCACCTCATGCCAACGGGCTGAAACAGCAGCAGTATTCTTCAAATGCCTTTTTTGTATTCATTTTTCTTCTTTGTTATCACTATTGCTTTGCGTTTTTTCTTTCCCTTTTTTCCCTTTATCTTGCGATAAAGTTTTGAATTTTTTCGTAAGCCATGATTGTGTAATACCAAACGATTTTTCATTATAATTAACATTGGGTTAACTGTCTAAAATGACTTATCTTAGTCCACAGTAAAATTTCACAACAAAAAGAAACATCAACGACGCCTAGCGGAGGTGTGTGCCGCATTTGTTTTGAAGTATGAATGAACCTGTCCGTCTCGCCGGATCTTCAGTTCTTTCTCTCCCTTTCTTTTCTCTTGTTCTTTAGCTCTTTTTCAAGTGCCATTTTTGGAGACCTGACAGTTTATACTCAAAAAGGTTTTGTGGGAGCGGTGCCGTTCTCCAGTAGCAAAGAATTTCTACCAGAATAGCCCGGCCTTTGCTTTTCCCCAGTAAAAAGAAGAAAGGGCGAAAAGAAGTAATATTGATAGTTTTCTATTTATCCCTGTCGTCAAGACAATGGCGTCAATACAAAGCGATGATTCTCAAAGAGAAACCCATTTTGTATAAAAACGTTGTCTTGCTTGGAGAAAAGAAGGTGTTGAAAACAGTTTAATCCACCCCCCTACGCACACACACAGCCCAAGAAACCGGTGACAGAGTTCAGATGGGCCTGAAAAACTCACACTTTGACAAACGCGCCTTTCCAGATAAAAAATGGGAAAAGTAAATTATACTAATTACCAATAAATACGCCAAGGTCAAGCCATATCTTTCGCAAGCCTTCAAAAAAGTACAACCCGTCCATTTAGCCCCAAACCAATAAACAATCGTCCCGCAGCGTCGCCAAAAAAGAATGCAGGGCGGGGGCCCTTCCTCTCAAACAAATTCGCATCTTTTGGGGGTAGTTAGAAAAACCTTTAAGAGATGGGTAATCTCCGAAGCGATGGGGTAAAAACACCATAAAAAGGTGGAGAAAATATTTGGGTGGTGCCCTCTTTTTCTTTTAGGCGACTTAACGCTGCGATTTGATCATCTTCTTGTTGTAGGACCTTCCTACATTTGATTAAGCGGGAAGGTCCGGGGGATGGTTCTTTTCCAAAGCTTCACCGCGGCGAGGGTTAGCCCACCCGAATCCCTTAACCCCAAGACGCACGCACGCACGCACACACATACACACACACACACAGCTAACACAGATATGCCGGAAGACGCCCCGCCGTTTACTGTGGACACCGCCGGGGTAGCTAGAACGACATTGCGAGCTATTTTTGGTAAGCGCGTGTGAAAAAAAAACTTCTGAAAATGTCCTGGGGCACCTTTTGGTCGCACTACGTATCGTTAAAGCCGCCTCGGCCGAGATAGGGGCGCCCGCGGTTTTATTTCCAAAACCCCAATGGAAATTGTCTGATCTTTTAAATATATGGAGGTATTGTATAAAATACTATTTTGATATTTTAGCCGGCGCATACCTTACTTTAAAGTGTTACTTTTCGAAGGGTAAGGTTGATCTGATTTGGGATTTTAGCATTGGTATCTTCATTATTTTCGTATGTCGCTTTAACGACGACGAAATGGCATTTCAGTCACCGCCTATAACAATAGCCCAACCGCATTTTCCTTCGATTACAATACTGAACAAAATCTGCCGCTGAGACACCATATGTGTTGTTTTTCGAGATTCGGAAAAAAAAAGAATTTATTTTTGATTTCCATTGTGGTACCAAAAACGTGTTTGAACTATTTGTGCGGGTGCTAGGAGCCTTTCGCTATTCCAAAAAATTCAGAGCTTCTCAAGACTTTCCAAGAAGGAATCCTATTTCTTCGCGGGGAATGGGTAATCTATCAAGGAAAAGGATCAATCCGCATTCCCAGCGTGAACTTCATAGGGGGATATTTCTTAACAGAGGACTTCGGCAGAAAAAAAATGCAAGCATGCAGCCCTAGGAATAGCAGAAGCAGCTGCACAAATGCAACAATCACTTAATCAGAAAGTTAAGCGGAATAACCATCAAAAAGGCAGGACAAACCACGAACAAGAAAAAAAACTGCCAAGAAACCATTTCACAGATCCCAAAGGCGAAGGATCACACCAACACACACCATCAAGCTGGTAGAAAGGAATGCAAAAATGATAATAATAATATTTATTATTATTATTATTATTATTATTATTATTATTATTATTATTATTATTATTTGGCGGTGGGGGGAAATACCCGATGGCGTTTCTGCTTCCCTACCCTAAAATATGTTCGAAGTGATGAAACCACGGCGGCGGTTGGGCGAGATCAAGCGCGCGTTTAAAGTCAGAACAGCATACCCGCCAAAAAAACTGAACCACCCTTTCATGGCGGTATATAGAGGGGTTTTGTCGCTCCCGCGGAGCCAGCTTCGAATTGTACCGCCGAAAGGCATTTTTTCATACTTCCCGGGCGCGGTGCGATTCGCGAAGTATTTTTTTTTTACCTTCGAATACGCTTAACTTTGGCACCAAACGGCGGAACCAGCCAGTCGCTTAGGCGGACGGTGTCGCCTTCAGGATCCCGCGAAGCCGCGAGAGCGTGCTGCAAAGGGACGGTCGCCATTTTTCAGGGAAGAACAGGGGCAAAGAAAAATGCACCCCGTCAGCCTGCCAGAAAAAGCTGGGCATTCCCTGCCTGAGTGGGCGAGGTTGCCGCGGCACTATGATTTTGTCAAATTTCCTAAAGGAAACGTAGCCGCCAAAAAAATAAAGATAAAATAAAAATAAACCTTACGCCCCACAACCTGGGAACGAAGGAAGTCAATAACAAAAAGATTCTGCGAGTGTTGAACCGGGAATGGCCGAGGGACCCGGGAGAAAGGCCACCCCCCTTTTTTTTTTACGGCCCCCAACTTGCAAAAAAAAAGGGCTTCACGCAAAGCAAGAGGGCGTTGCCAACCTTTCCGCGGCCAAAGGGGTCCCACAGATGAATGCCACCCACAGGCGCTCGAAAGCGGCATCGGTAGATCCAATAAAAAGGAGGTACGGTCAATGTTGGGGTTGGCTCTCGCGGCGGGCGCATTATCGGGGGCAAGAGGGCCACAACCCCAATACGAACAAGATAGAGAAGCCGAAATGGTAAATTCGGGGTGGCCAAAGGCATGATCGAATCAACCCTCGACTAATTAAACGCCGAAGGGAGGGGGGGGGGGGTTAACCATTTTTTCATGGCTGTGGTGTTCCGAAAGCTTCGGTAAAGGGTTTGGCATCCCCAGAACGAAGGGCGGCGCGCGCCCCCAGAACAAACGAACGCCGGACCCCAAGCGTTTGCGAATTGTTTTGGGGCCGGCCGCCCAAATAAGGCAACCAAGGGCGCTTTGACACGACCAGGGGCGTTTGGAGGGGTGCCGCCGCCAGGCGCTGTGGGAAAAAAGAAATCCCGTTTCGGGTTGTGTTGGCAAAACGTTTTGCTCGGGGAAAAGGGCGGGCGGTGCTTAAAAGAGTTTGCCCCGGCATAGCGCTAGATTGGGCGGGTGGTTTTTTGGCAGGGGCAGTGGGGAAAAATCTTTTGGCGGTGGCCGGGCTTTGTTTCACTCCCGGGGTAAAAAAGAAAATAAAGAATCATTTGGTGGGGTTCGGGGTTCGGAAACTAGGGCCCCTTTGGGTCGCGTCCCGGTACTCCTTGGCGAGGCGAAAAACAAAACAGCAGTTTTATTTGACCCAAAGGCTTCTTTGTTTTCCGGGCAGATTTCCCGGGCGTTGTGGAAGGCAGTTCCCATTGCAAAACGAAATTAGGCCGAGTTTTTTGAGCCCAAATGCTTTCCAATTGGCCGTTAATGTTGCAAAGGGGCATCTCGTGGAATCAAAAATTTCCTTGCAGGTTTCTCCGAATTTGTACGGCTGCATAACCGCGATACCGCCTGGGTTGGGAATTGTTTTATGGATCAACAATACCTTTATTGGTGGATCGCAACAAATTGTAGGAAAATGGGGCAAAAAAATTGAACAGAATATGCAGCAGCCCAAGTCCCAACTGAGAAAACAACAGGGAAACGCAGAAAGCTATATGAGTTCATGGGTGAAAAATTTAACCGCAAGAGAAAGGCACTTTCTTTGAAAGGCAAAGCAGACCATCTGCGAGACGCCATCCCTTCAGAGGGCAGGGGCCAAATAGATAGAAAGTGCGCCGCCGCACATGATACATGCAACTGGAGTTCTTGTATGGGTGTGCGAGAATCCTTTTTCAAAATTATTATCCATTCCATAAAGGTGGTGCAAAAGTCATTTTACCCTTGAGGTTGGTCAATTCATCGACCCACACTTTTTCAACGGGTGGCGGAAAAGGGTTCAGAATTTATTGAAAAACAAGACATTCCTGGCAGTGAAAAAATTGCCCAGAACCCTCTCGCTGAAGACGGGTGGCGAATAGCAACGGGCGCCCTAATCCATTTCCCAAACAGAGGGGCGAGCCATTAGTCTGTTACAACGGGATTTTGTGGAAAATTATAATGCTTTGTTACCCATACAATTCGATTGTACAACTATTCTGTGCTCGTTGGCGAAAGCCGATGCCAATTCGCGCGCCTCATTTGGCGAAGGAATCGGCCGCCGATAGGTTAAAAATCACCTTCCCCCCAGAAAAAAAAAATAATAATAATAATAACAATAATAAATTTAATGCATTTTTAGGGGCCGGAATAGTTTGTATGCCTTTCATCCCTCTGGTTTTTCCCAGAAAGGATACCCACACCCGCCGCCCAGGCATCACAGCCGTAAGGAATTCCTTGGTTGTTCCTCCTCTTTCGGGTGTCGCGGCGGGTTTTCCGACAGTTTGCGAAAATAAAGGTCGGGGCTTTCGGCGAAGAAACTTCAAAATTTGACGATAAAAAAATTTTTTTTTATTTATTTCTTATCATTCTTACAGTTTGCAAACTAAAGTCTCTGAAAGCCCACCAAACGGAACTCTAACCACACCGCCCCGAGCGGAAGGCGGGATAGGATGCAGAGTTTCCTACGATAAAGCCAAACATAGTTTTATTTTCTTTTTAATTTTTAAACCTTCCTCTTAAAAGAGAAAGTTAAGGTTTCGATTATTCTAAAAAGAATTCCTTCAAGACTATTTTTACCCTATAAATTGAGGCTTGCGGCTTAGAAATTATCAAATTTCAAGGTAAAAAAAAAAAAATACATATGCATATATATATAAACATATATATAAAAAAAAAAAAAATAGATTTAAAAAATAGTTTTTTAATTTATTTCCACCAATAATTACAAGAATCTCTCATTCCGGTTATCGGATTCATAGCTCAGTGGTAGAGCGTTCGGCTGCAGTCCGAATGGTCCCCGGTTCAAACCCGGGTGGGTCCTTGTTTTTCCAACTAACAAAAAGGTTTTCTTACAAACCTAAGAGAACAGAATGATTGGGTCATGTGAAAACAAGGGCCGCTACGGGAATTGAACCCGTGACCTCCTGCACCCAAAGCAGGAATCATACCACTAGACCAAGCGGCCGGACGATCGCCTCAAGAGGTTCTTGATTGGATCTATATACCGTTTTCTTTAGGGCAACATGGCGAATGATCTCGGTGCTTTTTTTTTTTTTTTTTGGTTTTGGTGTCTTTATGGGTTTTATCCCAATGGCGAGAGCCAACAACAGCAACACATATATATAATGATATATGTATATAATTTTTTTTTTATTTTGTTTTGTTTTTTATTGTATTTTATTACCGTTGCGAAGAGGAATTACGCATTGGCAGTGAGATTGCGATGGATCTCGAAGGTGGCGGAGCGTGGATTTTTTTCACCTCTCTGAGTCCCCTCAGCGGCTAATCCAATTTCCACCACTGGAGGGCATAATTGTTACTATCTCTAGGGTCCCCGCCTCTCCTTTTTTAGCAGCATTCACACTAAAGTGAAATATATAAAGAAACTGCTGCTGATGGCACGCCGGCACGCGCCCCAGGACCTTCTTGGATATATTTCTGCCCCAGCACGACACGGCTGGCCCCGGTGCTTTGCAATCCCTTGAACTGAGGGCCAACGAGTCTTCCAGAAGAAAAACGTCGCTAGCTCTCGGCTCCCCTCGATAAATGCGGCGCGCTCGACCGTCCCAGTCTGGCGGCTTCGCCAAATGGCAGCGGGGGAGGAAATCAGCGAAAGACACGTGCAAAAAAAATGTGACTGTTTTACGGGCCGTTTCCTCTAAAAAAAAATAATAGTCCGACTGATTTTGTTTTTCTGACAGCTGGCGAAAAGAATGATCGAGTCTTATGTTAACCGGAAACAAATTGCGTATGGGATTTGGTGTTGGGATTATTGTTTTTCCTCCCCCCAAACAGTCTGCCAACGCAGGTTCCCGAAAAACCCACCAAATTCAATTTGACCCCCACCGCCCCGAGCGGGAGGCGGGACAAAAGGGCTTCTCAGCAATTCTGTTTCGTCCGTTCTGCCATTTATCTGGGGTGCCGCCATGG